ATATATATATATATTATATATATATATATAATGACTAATGATGAAAAGTTTTTTAAAGACAAATATTATAAGATCAGCAAGTTTGGCTTACCATTCTGTGGTCATTGGTGATGAGGGTTAACGCGGGGAGAAAGTGATAAAGTAGAGTGTGACTCTCGACCTGCTAAAAATTTGCCTTACAAACTTACAAGTACAAACTTACACTATTTTTGAATCGAAACCTTGCCGTGTAGTACGACAATAACATCATCTTCATTGTCGTCATTCCTGCGTAAGTGCAGAAGAGTCTGAATACATCGTTACCGTTTACACTAGACATTTCCGAATGTTGACTTTAAGCTAAATTTGTTATTCAGTAGCCTAACAGGGAAGAAGTAATGCATTAAACAGTACCGTAACAAGTGATCACATAACTATTGGCATGTGTGTATATATAAGCTCAAAGCTCAAACCAAAGCAAACACAATAACATTCCATAGGGGCGCGGATCCAGATTTTGTAGAGGATTCGAATATTCAACAGTCAAAAAGTGGATTTGCACATCCAGGCCTATACTGTATTGCGTTTACCCAAGACTCAGATACTGTTCTATTTTTCGTAATCCATGTATTCATAATAATTTAAAATGTATTTACATTCACTGTGTTTAATCATTCATAGTAATATATGATTGTTTTCGATGATTAAAAAGTAGAATATTTATATTTCTCAGTTTAAAGTGGGTTTGAAACCGCAGACTCGTATTTTGTTTGCAAGATGGAAGATAGACCTGCTAAAAGTAAATGTCAAACAGTAAATATAGTGATTTTAGTGCAGTTTTCTACACACAAAAAATAACATACCTCAAAAGCCGATGTTTTCTGTATGGTGTTCCATATTGAATACCGATGACTAAGGGCGTTTAATGTGTGTGTTTTTGTAATGGATATTTGAGTAAAACGCACAGGACTTAATGTGTTCTGGTTTATTAAGAATCAGTAAAAGCATACAGTAATAGATTCTAAAACACTTAAAACAAAACATTCGAATATAATGAAGGCATCACATGATGGTGTTGGCACACAACTAAACATGTTTATTTCAAATAAAGAATACATTAAAATATATGGTGATTTTAATTTCTTTATTTATTCAATATTCATATCGCAGTCGAGCCTGAAATGTACAAAATAAAACGGCCTATCTTTAAAATCACTAAATTTATGCAGGTTTGAAAAAAATAACAATTTATGAAAATCCAGCATAAATTCATATGCAACTCAAAATTCCATGAAAATGGAAAATTCTATGAGTTGCAACATTCCATTTTAGGCATGGCGGTGGAAAAATCTGATCACCGCGGTTCACAGACTTTCTACGATTTGTTCAGTAGTAGCACCACTAATTCTCCCACTTCAGCTCACCTTGGTTGGGGCTTAGGTGAGCAAACCGGTACCGGTAGGCCTACCTCCTGATGTCCAGAAATGTGTTCCCCGAGGAAATAGGGAGGTTTCACAAGCTTGCGAAAACGATAGCCAATACAGCTTCGTCATCAAATAATGTTTAGTTAACCCATCCCCTACAGTAGCATATCTGTCGCAACGTAGGTCATCTATGCTTTTTACACGAATCAAGAATCGTATTCCAGCAATCGTACTCCAGCGAAAACCCCAGTAATAATTGTTCCCCGACGGCGGATCCCGATGATTACGCACCACCCATGCACACCCGGCCGCGCTGCTATCAATACCATTGCTTTTGTTTAAAAACTTAAGATTCAATCTTCTCGAATTCCAATCCTGAAGCAGGCTGCAAATGAGCGAATATTGGAACTTTTACTGATCTTGGGTTCTGGGAAATGAAGGTTACGCTGATAAGCCTATCAGAAACGGTAAAGAGCAGGGTATAAAGAGAGTTTATCCCCTTTTGGAGTTTATCCCCTTTCTAATATATTAAGTGCCATTGCTTTAGGCGTATGCGGGATAATGAATAAGTAGTACTGTAGCTTTGGTACTGCTCCCACCAACTATCCATCCCTCTACTAAATTAATTGGGATTATATTAGGCCTATTATTATTTTTATTAAAATTATTATCTTATTCATCATCATAATATTTATTATTATAATTACTATTCAGTACCATTATTATTATAATTACCATTACCATTACCATTACCATTATTGTTATTGCAAAATACTGAGTAAAATGAGTAATGTTCGTAACAGAGTTGTTTTACAATACAATATATATTATTTCATTTGCAACTTGAAAAGTTTGCAAAGTGCAATGAAATGGAAATAACTTTTTCCCAACAACCCTGTGTAGCCAAGGATTTATTTATTATTTATTATAATTTATATTATTTAATTTATAATATTAATTATTATAATTACCATTACCATTACCATTATTGTTATTGCAAAATACTGAGTAAAATGAGTAATGTTCATAACAGAGTTGTTTTACAATACAATAAATATTATTTCATTTGCAACTGGAAAAGTTTGCAAAGTGCAATGAAATGGAAATAACTATTTCCAAACAACACTGTGTAGCCAAGGACAATTAATTAAAAGCCTTTGTACAGATAGGCTAGACAATATATAAATAGACAACATTTTAATTAAAAGTTTAATTAAAATTCTTTGGGATTATCTACAAATACGGTACTTATATACATAACCCTTACATTTTTTGGAATTTTTGTTTCTGCATTAGAATTGGTTAAGATTTATATTATTTTTAATTGAGTTAATTAATCTTCTTTGCAAATTAATACCGAGTAATGAAAATAGTTATGTTAGACATCTAAAACATGCCAAGCTTGATAACGTTCCAGGCCATCGACGCGTTGACGATCCATCCGACTGTGAAGCAGAATGCTCTGGAAGGCTGAGGGAGGGGAGCCAAGTACGCAATGCTATGGAGGACACGTGACGCAAAGAAGATTCGGTAATGCATTGATGCTGCAAATACACTTGGCTCGCTCAACGCGTATAGGAATCCCAAGAACAGGAATGGCACGATGTTCTCTAAGTCGTTGAGGTGACAACTGAAAAGAGAATAATGGTGAATCATTGTGAAACATACAGTAATAAAATGTACTCCTTTGCAAGATATAGACCTAAACACATTTTCAATGATACAGAAACTGAAACAAATTTCAATAATTTTGAAGATATACTTAATAAACAAAATATTATGATTGAGCAAGTCGCTGAGGTGACAATTGAAAATATATTCATAATAAATGACAAACGAAACATTATTTTTCTTAAGTTGACTAAAGAAATCAAATTTTGTAATAGAATGGTCAATTATTGTGAAACTTGTTAGGTGAAAATATGTGTGCTTGAAAATACGTTTGTAAATCAATATAAACGATTTTTTCTATAAACGATCTTAATCAATACAGAATCTAAAGCACAAGTGCAACTCACCGTCGTACTCTTTCTACATCTTCGTCAATATTGGCTCCAATTTTCGACGATTTTGAGATTCTGTCTTCCGGACTTGCAAACACCTGAAATAATGAATCGAGTAACTATACTAATCACAAGTTACATTCAACCACAACAGATTTGTGTGATTTAATATTACGTACGGCCGGTCATGAACGGTATGAAGGCAGGTTGTATACCGAACTTTCATTAAAAAAAAATTAAAAATAGTGAATAGTGAAATAATCAGTCCTGACACGTTAGATAAGATAGAGGGTATCAAATATAGCTAGAAACAAACTTACATACAGTATTATGAGCGCAACTCTCAGGCCATAACATCACTATATCTTAGTTAACATGGAACGAACATCACAATATGCCTACAGTGTAAATGTGTTGGTTTCCCTTTTTGTATTAATAGTATTTAACTTTTTCAATAACAATTCTAAAACCCGATATTGCATAAACTGCTTACGAATTTTTTTTTTTTAAAGTTATAAATCACTGATACAGTATACTTGATCCATGTAATGTTGCTGGATTTATATAGCGCTTTATATGCCCATATATTTATAAATGTAATTTACTTGTACAGCCCCTTTTTTCACGGCCCTGTATTTTCGCAATTTTACAATTTTAGATATTTCGCGTCATTTTATTTTTGCGATTTTATGATTGCCAGTCGTTTTTTAACATGATGCAGAAATCTTGTTAGTAGTACACATCATGCACCTCCACCGGATTTACTTGCTCTTACTGGGTCTGCCAGACAATAACATAGGCCTAGTGTCTATGCCCCCGAGGGGCAATAGCCACAAAAGAAATTATATAATTTGAACTTAAAACCACGGGAAAAGAAACTGGTAATATTTTCTTCCACCAACATACATAGTAGCAGTTACAACCCCTCCCGATCGGAAATGTCCATGAGGCTACGTTCTAAAAACCCACAACTCTGCACATATGGGCGGATTTGGGAGGGGGGCGGCCCTCATTTTAAAAAGGGGAAAAAAACGAAAAAAATAAAGAAAGAAAAAGAGAAAAATTGATCGCTCAAAACGCCTCAGATGTGTTTTTTTTTTTTTTTTTTTCCTTTGGCGTCTGAAAACAAACAAAAAAATTCACGGGGGCATACCATCGGACCCCCTAGGATAGTGTTATCTCGATCGGCCCCACTTTCGACATCTCTGGATCCGCCCCTGCTGCCATCAACACTTCAACATAGTAGACCTATGTATATAGGCCCACATTAAGTAACTAATTAATTTGCCTTCCCGCAGTTTCCAATCTTGCGCTAGTCTTTAAGCAGACGTACTCTAGATTGACATGGCCG